TCAGCTGCAAGCCTTCTTATGAACAAGCCTCAGTTCCAAATGAAACTCTTGATGCTTCTTCCTTTGTGCAGAAAGTCAGCAAGCACAGCTCAAATTCTTGTGGAGGGGAATGGAGTCTGTGGGAGATATGCTTACTTAGCAGAAAGCCCATGTGGGATAGAAGATATGGTTGTTTCTGGAAAGCACAATATGTCATATTTTGCCTGTAAATTTCCATCCAAAAATGATTCCTTTGTGACTTTCACCATGCTTTACCATAACAGGCTAGTTCAGGGTGTGTCCAAGAAATCTTGGAACTACAATCTAAGATTCTAAAGCAAATCCTATGTGCTAAACTGAATGAAAGTGTGAGGATCTTTAGATGTCTAAGCTATTATACAGATATTTGATGTTTTGTAACTTTTAAGATATTTATATTTATTGAAAGTTGTGAAAAGTTCCAAGCTGCATCTATCATACTTTATAAAGTATATTTAATAAGATGCCAAGTGACATGAAACAGAACAGAAAACCAGGTTTGATTACTACAGAAATAGAGTCTCAGAAATAACTTATATGAGTGTCTTTATCTTCCTAATTTCTTATCCTTGTTAAATATAAAGGAATTAAAATGATTCAACATATAACAAGAGGGTAATTTGCACAGACGGCTGTGTGATCCTAATATTTGGGCATATTATCAGAGGAGGAAAAGTACTGAAATTCACTAGGAAGGCTCCATTCATAGAAGTACATGTATTTCCATTCACTGCCACCAAAACATATTTACAAACTTTAATCAATTTCCAGCCGGCTTATGTGCCAATTTTTGTAATGAAGAAAGAGTGAAAGGTAAATAGACCCCCTCTGTGTGTGTCGTCTATAGAATTTAAATCTGGATGTGCTTTCTAGACTCACTTCCATTTTCAGTAATACCTAAGTCTAAAAAGCAAAGGAAAAAAAATCATGCAATTCTTGTAATGGGTAAAGAGAAAGAGAATAAGCAACTGTCACAGGATGCTCCATTTACCCCCAGGGGATCTGGCTACTCTGAGCACAGGACTGCAGGATGATGGCAGGGAGACTGGGCTCCATTGGGAGCAGATGACCCTGAGTTCAAAGTGCTGCTCCTGCCTCAGAGGAGGAAGTCCCAAACACGGGGGAAACTTACCTGTGGCAGTACCTGTGTGTGTCTCTTTTTTTCATTGTTCCAGAAACCCTGAAATGTTTGCTTCCTGCCGATGGATTCTGATTTATCATGGGCTGGCAGCAAGCTGCTTAGACCCCTGGACCCTCCAGCTGGCTGAGCCCAGTCGGGGAATGTCAACAGCACTGGACAAGTATTCAACCTCTAACAGGCATCCCCTCACAGAGATGGAGCTGAGATCGAGGGTCTGTTGTTTTCAGGAGCAGTTAGCACCCTGAGACCCAAATGAGTGCCTTTCAAGTCTGTAACTCTTGAAAGTCCCTTCCTGTTGTTTCTCATTGTTGTTGTTCATTGTGTGTGTGTGTGTGTGTTTATTCTATAGGTCTCATTGATTCTGTTCCTCTGGAGAACATTAATGAATATGCAGATCTACCCTATAGAGCTACGTACCATCCCCCACTTTTCCTTTATATCGTACTCATGTTTTTTCTCCTCCTCCCAGACAAAGGAGGTGATGAGATGTCACTGGATGAAAATGAAGCCAAAGAGGAGTTAAGAACAGGTTCATTAGTAAAAAGGTTAAAAGTAAAAAGGTCTTTAGGATGCCAGATAGTTTATACATTTCTTTCTGCATTTGTCTCTTTTGAAGTTGAGAGTTTCTTTGGATAAGAATAGTATGAAAAGTATTTCCATATTCATACAAGACTGGAGTGGGTTTCTCCCTACAGACAGATGTTCAGATTATTCTTGTCCTCTTGCCATTATAAACAATACTTAATTTTCAAAAAGGCTGCTGCAGTTTAGGTGCTGAAAGTCTCTCAAAGACCCCGGTTAAAGATCTGGTTCTTCTGGAAAAGCTGTTGCTGCTATTGATGCATAGCATTCTGCTATTATTAGTCTTTTTATATAAATATAAATATAAATATATATATAAATTGAATTTTGGGAAACTTTAACAGTGCTGCCAACTTTGGAAAAAGTCATCCCAATTTACTGTGTTGAGTTGGCATTGTACAGAAATGGACAGCCATATTGGTCTAGAAATGTTAATTTTTTTATTTTTATTTTTTATTTTTTCCATGTGTACAGGGGTAACACATCGTACTAAATATGTAAGGTCACACACACAAAAAAAGATCTGATTCTTAGGGTAGTGATGTGTGAGGGGCTGCCAGTCTTTGGAGGGTGGGCCTTGTGGGAGATCCTTAGGTCATTTGAGGGCTGTACCCTGGAAGAGGACTGTGGGCTCCCTTCCTCTCTGTTTTGCTTCTGAGCCATGAGGTGAGCAGTTTGCGCCACCATATGCTCCTGGCATTGCCATCTGGCACCCAATCAAAAGCTCCAGGCAATGGGACTTCTGACATGGATGGACTGGAAACTCCAAAACTCTGAGTCAAAATATACCTTTTCTCTGTATAAGTAAATTCTCTCAGGTATTTCAACACAGTGACAGCTAACAGCTAACACAAAGGCTAATATAGGCTTCTTTAGATACCAAGATGTAGTCTGCTGGCTCAGAAAGCCTGCTCATTTAAACTTGTCAATGTTAGCAGAACTTCCAATTTACCCTCTCAAAGGCTGTACCTGTCCTCTCTCCCCTCAGCAGGGAATAGAAGTGCATGTCCCAGCACCTGTCACATTTGACACAATCAGTCCTTGTTTTTTGACAATCCTATAAGTAAAAAATGATATGTCACCTTATTTTCATTTCCTTATGAGTGAGGCTATCTTTTCACATGTCTGGCTTCTGATATCCTTAATCTTTCCTATACATGATTTATCTTTTTTCTCTTAGTATGTATGACTCTTGTTCATTGTTTTGGTTGTATGTTGCAAATATTTTCTTCTCTATCAATTTTCATTTAACTTTGTAGTGTGTTGTTTTTATTTTGATATAGCTTCATCAGTCTTTATATCTTTTTTACTTTATGTCTTTTTTGGTTTTGTTCGCTTTATGCTTTGCTTTTTGGCCATTTAAGATCATAAATGTACTATATTTTGTAATACCTTTATAATATTTTATGTTTAACTTTGTAATCCATGTAGAACAAGATTTGGAGTCTTTTATTTTTCTTTATTCAAATACTAGTCATTCCTTTCTCATGGATTTGAAGCAGATGACTTTTAAAAAGCATCTATTAAAGTGGTTCAGTGATTTTTCTCCTTTTGAACTATGTGTCTTCCTCTGGTTGATGAAGTCCATCTTCTCAAAATACAATTGTAAACCTACTCCTCAGTGAGTGGCCTATGCCCCCCAGGAGAGGGCCGGACCTCTGTAGGGTACTCTTCAAGAATCTTTAACAGAGGGAAGAATGAATGGATTCCTCCTGATACACTGTAAAAAGATGGATGATCAGCAGGGAGTAAGAAACTAGAAGGAAAGGGGCCCTCAGATCCCTCACATCTTTCAAGACTCTGTCCATGGAAGCCCAAGTCACCAAGGCATCGCTCTGTCAGCGTCCGCACTTTGTCCTTGCGTAGCCTCTGAGAATGGAATGAGAAGGCAGTTTTTTCCTAGTTCCCTCCTCCTGTTTGACATACAGAGCCCTTAGCCTTGGCTTTCAGAAGAAAGCACAAAAATGGCCAAAGGCTGTTTCCCTGAGCATCTACCACACTCATCAAAGCAAGGTATGCCACTATCAGAGGTGCTGCCTCTAGATTTGTTTCCAACAAGGCCACCTCCAGCTGCAAACTCACTGAATCCAGGTGTTCATAGGTATTTTGAAGTGAAGTTGTCAGTTTGAATCTTTGGGATATGCATTTTAGATGAAGTAATAATGGTTAGAATCCAGATTCTTTCTAGAAGAGGGAACTCTTTGTTCCTTTTTTGGGAGAAGAAAACATTTCCAACTGTGTATTAAAATTTTTACCCCTTCTGTTATAGCTGCCCAGCTGCGGTAGACCGAGGAACAGTGTTGCCCACAGAACTGTACCCAAGTTGAACTGTGCCTTTTGGTTGGGGGAAGCACCCAAAGCTAAAGGAGGACGGAGCACTTTGCTTCCTCCCATGCTTCTACTGGCCCCCACCTCCCCAAACTGCCTTTTCTCTAGTCTAACAAATCATGGGATTAGATTTTCTAGTGTTGTGTTGTTCTTCAGTTTCTGGATTAAGTCTGACTTTATTCTGATGTTTTTTTAGTTTAAATATTTCTGGATTTGATCTTCCAATGATTCATAAAGGAATGTTTTGGTGTCCAGGTCCATAAACAAACACAATAATTCTTGTTCGAATGGAGTGAGATTTCAGATTTCTATACCACTCCCACTTCAATCTCAATGCGATCTGGACAGTGAAGAGTCATTTAACCAGTGTCCTCTGGCCTCAGGGTACTAAAACATCTCCTTGCACAATGACATACAAGGTTAAGGGTTGAGAAAAGAGGGCATTGATTCTTAAATATCAACTCCATTCAGGATCTGCCTTTGTCAACAGGCAGCCATGTTTTCCACTCCAATAGTTATGGATTATCCAAGTTAGAGACTCTGAAAATGTTTAGTCAGGAACTCCGGGATTTAATAGCTCTGAATGGATGTCTAACTCAAAATTACTCAAAAGAAGACACAAAAATACTTCTAAGAAATCAAGTCAAATACATGAGGGAGGAATCTCATTACCACAGTTTAAGACACACAGATAAAATTTTAAGAATTTTTGTTTGTTTTTGTGCTGGGGGTTGAACCCATTGGCCTCCTTCAGGCTAAGTGAGTGTTCCACCCCAGCCCCAAGACAAATTCCTGACTAATGTGTGTACCTTGTTGCTCTCCCGTAGATAGTTGCTGGTGGCCTGATTTGATGCATTTCGAATTACAATCTTATTTGCCACTGTTTGTGACAGAAGACAAATCAAATTTGTTCCTTTCACGTGTAGGTTTTAATTTTTAGCCACAGGTTTTTATTTTCACATTGACCACAGAATGTCCTCTGGCTTTTGAATCTAACTTTGGCCATTGGTTGTTGCTCTTCTGAATGTGATCTAGTAGGTTTGCCTTGTTTCTTCCTCCCCACCATCCCTGTTTATCTAAATTTAGGGCCCTTAGTAAAAGATAAAGAGAAGAAAGGTTTGCAGGGTCAAACTCACTACCTGCCTGCCTGGGTTTTTTGTACACAGGTGAGATATTCCTGCACATCATCTGGGGACCCCAGAATGAGGGGGACCCGTTGGTGAATACTCTCGGGCTTCACATCCAGGACAGGCTGGGTGCCTGTGGTGGCCATGCCTCCTGCCTGCTCGATGATGTAGGCCACAGGCTTGCACTCGTACAGGAGCCGGAGCTGTAGAGAAACAGAGCCAGGTGGCTGAGCGGTGTGAGTGGCCAGACATCCCAAGCCCTGCCCCTCGAGTTGAGGAGGAGTTTGAACTTCTGAGCATCTGTGAGCCTGGATGCACCAGGTGTACTCATCCTGCACACATGTGGGGCGCCTTTGACCGGGCGGCTGGGACATATATCCTGTCTGGGGACCCTTGTACTAAGGAGACCTGCCTCTTGATTTGGATTTGAAGATACACGATCCAGATGCCCGTTTCTTGCTGGTTTAGCAAACTGATTCTGCAGTCCAATTGAGAAGCTATTCTAGGTAAGGCCTTCCAGCTAGTAGCAAAAAGCCAAGCATGATGAATCATAAGGTCACCTTGAGAGTGCTAGGTGGTATCTCTGGGGATAACCACAGTGGCAGGGATGGCATAGAAGGACCTCTACATCTCAAGTATTAGCTTGGCTAAAAAGTTTGCTGGTATTTCAACCTTTTCTATTGGCTTCTTAACTAAGTGAAATCCTGTCCTTCCCCTTTCATAAGTCATCACATTGAGGTTTGTTTAACATCTGGCTTCTTCCTCTCTTGAGAGGAGGCCCTGTACAGGTGGATGCACTTGGGAAGGCTAGTTTTGTCCCTGACCAATCCACAGAGGGACACCGGAAGGCACATTGTCTTGGAGAGTCTGGCCATGGAGACCCTGGTCTTGACAGTCTGTAGAACTCGGCTTTTCCCGCCCCTGTTTCTTCTCTCTGGAGGCTGACAACAGGGGGAATTTGTGGTCTCAGAATATAACCAAGCAGCCTATTGAACCAGATACTTTAAAAAATAACTCAGAATTGGAACACTTGTTTTGCAGCCAAGTTACTTTTGCTCTGATCCCAGATGTCCCTGTTGTAGTCAGCTGGTGTTCATAGCAAAATGTCCAGGATTTCATGGCACATTGGCCAGCTGCTCATGTGATCCACTCTTTCTCATCCGTTAAAATCTACATGGCTTTACAGAGACAAGCACACAGAGGAGTTATGTCTATGTCCATGTGCAAGTGTGCATGCTTACACACACACACAAGAACACACAAACACACACAAATGTGTCACAGAGACCACAGGAGCTGAAATGTGGAGGTTAGGAACAAATGCACTTTCAGTATGTGCAATGGTTATGGTGCAATGAATGCAGATCTATGTATGGTATTGCATATGCTTGTAGAACATATCTATTTAATTATGTGTGGATAGTCTGTGACTCATATAACCATTTAAATAATTAGTAATAATTAGTCTTGATGTCCTTCCTATTAGAACCAAGCATGTGACAAGAATTTAAGAATTTTCATGTCTTTTACTTCATCTCACGTAATACTCCATTGCACTTTTATTTCCTTCAGCACTTCTTGTACTGACTTCTCTGTGATTGTGAGTTCAACAGATTAATATATGTGATTAACAATATAATAGAGCAAACACTGCCTTGTATCAAAATATGTGTATCAAAATCTCTTGTCTCATTTCCAGAAATTATTCTGGAGCAGAATTTTTTTTTCCTGGAGAACTCTTTAGGGGATTCTGTTTTGTTCTTTTTTTTGAGTACCATGTTTATTCCCTGAAGGGGTGCACCTTTCCCAGAAGTACTGCAATATGAGGTTAATGCATGGAGTGGAGGGAGCAAACTCCTATTCCATCTCCCAGCTCCAAAAGTACATGTAATATATTGTCCTCGGATAGAGGATGTATCAGATATTAAACTGATAAGAACAGATACTACACTTAATCTTAGCCAGAAGGCCAGCCGGGGATTTGGCTCAGTGGTCCCACCATCTGCCTCCCAAGTGCAAGGACCCAAGTTCGATCCCTGGTACCAAAAAAAAAAAAAAAAAAAGGTCAAGAAGCGATTTTAAGGGATTCTTGAGTGGACTTCAGGGCGTCTATGGGCCCTCTCCAAATGACGTGTGACATTTATGTGCATGTTTTTTCTAGGAAGTAGAGGACAGGTTTTTATCAGATTCTCTAGGCGGATCAGTGGTTGCAAGCCAGAGCTGCTATGAAAAATTAGACACAGCCCACAGAAAGTGGGACATGAACAAGGAGACTCACGGCAAAGGATGAGCACGAGGCCAGAGGAGCGAAGGCCAGTGACAGCCAGAGCCACAGTCACATCAGCCTTTCTCTTCTCCGAATCATTGGCAACAGTCACTACCGGGAAAGTGTGTTTGTCTTCCCTGACCTCTCACAAACAAGCAGACCCAGGAGCAGCGCAGCAGCCACAGGGCAGGCATGAGGAGGCGCGACTTCGGCTGGCTCACAAAGAGACAGAGCAATTACCTTGCCCTTAGGACTCTTCTGGTTGGCTGGGTACAGGAAGATCCCTCCGTAGACCAGGGTGCGGTGCACATCAGCCACCATGGAGCCCACGTACCTGGCCCCATAGGGAGCGCTGCCATCCTGGAAGGCAGAAAGGGAAGCAATGAGATCCAGTGGCTTTTGCAAGTAGCCTACATCAGCTTCGGGGCACAAGTCCAGTCGGTGTGGCTTCCACTTTCCTGGCCCTCTGATCTCCATCCACTGACACAGGAACTGAAGCGCTGTAACTGAGCATTTCATTCATTATGAGACTGTCAGAACGCAGTCGCTGACTGAGCTAATCCCACATAGGACTACTTACAGTAAGAGCATCCTGCAGCAACAACAGTAACAGCAGTCAGTCCTTCATATCCACAGGCTCCACATCAAGAGATTTAACCAACCGTGGATCAAAATGTAAAAGTGGCAACCGCACTGAACATGTACAGACTGGTTTTCTCACCATCAACCCTTGAACAGGAAGCATTACAATTCTGTACAGAGTATTTGTGTTGTATATGGTATTTTAGTAACCTAAAGATGATTTGACTCACTGTGTCTACTTCCCTTTGAAAAATTTTAAACTTATTTTAGTTTATATTTAATTATGAGGACTGTGATTTTAATCATTTTCTGAAATATGAGAAAAAGTATACTTACTCAATTGTTTTTGTTTTTTAATGATATACTTGAATATATTCATAGGTCAAAGGAAGGTGACAAAGGGATAAGACAAAAAATGCAGAAGAGGGACAGTCAAAAACTTGAGAGTTGTGCATCTTTATGACCTTCATTTTTATACTGCTTATGTCTATTGTCTTGGTCACTTTCTCATCACTGGGACAAAATACCTGACAACTACAACTTTGAGAAGGAGAGGTTTATTTTGGCTCATGAATTCAGAAGTTACAGCCCCTGGTAGGCAGGCTCAAGCACAGAAATGGCACGGTGAAGGAAGTGGCATGGAGGAGAACAGCTTACCTCAGGATGCAGAGAGAGAAGGGAGGAACTGCAGGGAGATGTACCTTGCTGGGTCATGCCCTCAGCGACCCACCTGTAACCAGGCCCCATCTTCCAAACACAGGAGGCTTCTGGTGAGCACTCTGATCATTCAAATACGGTAGAAATGACGGTAAATCACTTCTGATGGTCATTTAGAAATGCACTGAGACTTCCATTTTGGACACACTTGGCTTCCTTTGCTGTCCTGGGTCACCCATACTGTGGGAGGCCAGCCACCAGGTCCTGAGGGAAGGAGCGGGGGACTCCACCCAACAGTCTGTGAGTAATCGAGACCACCTGCTGAAAGCCGTACTAAGGAGCTAGGAAGCAAGTCTGGAGTCCCAGCAGGTATCTGAAAGGCAGCCTCATGTGAGACCCTGAGTCAGACCCAGCCAGTGACAGCCCTTCTGAATTCCCCACCCACAGAAACTATGAGACTCTAAGTATTTTTTGTTTAAACTTCTAAATTTAGGGATGATTTGTTACATAGCAATAGATAACTGATACACTTGTATTTTTTTGCTAGCAATATTTTCTAAATATAAGTAAGCATTTATTGGTAATATACTATTTAAAAGACACAGCCGCTGGGCATGGTGGCGCATGTCTGTAATCCCAGCACTTGGAGGCTGAGGCAGGAGGATCGCTGTGAGTTCGAGACCAGCCTGGGCCACATAGTGAGTTCCAGGTCAAGTTTTTGATCAAAGGTAGACCCTGTATAAAAAAAAAAAAAAAAAAAAAAAAGACATAGCCACTGACAATACAGTAGGTTGTAAATTCTTTGAATTTAAGAACTGGCTTTTGCCTCCTTTTGGGGATCACCTCCAATATTGTAGAATGGCTCAAAGCATTAAAGCCAATCAGTATTTCTTTCACAGTATTTCCTTTTCCTCTTCCTTTCCCACCTGAACTTGATCCCTCAAGGAATTTGTCTAGTCCCATGTCTTGAGACAATGGTTCCAGTCTTCATATTCGCTGACTTTCTGCAGTCTTCATCCTGCTCTTGACCTCCAGCTTTTTGATGTACTAGCTCATTAATAGCAGTTATAAACCCAGACCTGCATACTGAGCCAGCATCTCCACTCTCTATGCCAGGGCCTTCAGGAAATTCTTTAGCTTCTCTGTGATGTGGTTTTATTATTAAAATGAGAATAATAACATCTCATGGGACTTTTGTGAAAACTAAATGAGTTAACATGTACCAACACTTAGTACAGGACCTAATACAAAATAAGGACCTTGTTCTGTGCTGATGTGTTAGGTGGGATCACTTCTAAAAGCTGCCTACTAACCTACTATTTTGCTCTCTGCCTTGGGTGTCTCAGCAGAGACAGAAGGTGTGCAGTGCTACCCATTTGGTCCACTTTCAATCAAAAGATTTACTAAGATTCTCAAAGAGATTCTTGTTTCCTGCAAACGAAGTTACCTTTCACTTTGGTGGTGAGAATAGCCACTGTCTTGGTCAGTTTACTTAACCCTGAGACACAACACCTGACACCCACAACTGGAAGGAGGAGAGGTTTATTTTAGCTGATGGTTACAGTCCATAGTTGGCTGGCTCCGAGGCAGACGCAGGGCAGAGAAGTGGCTCAAGGCATGGGAAGGAAGAAGAGAGTGAAGAGGGGATTGGGGAAGAGGTGAATCCCCCCCAGGCCACACCCCCGGGAACCCACCTCTTTGGACCAGATCTCATCTCCTAACAGTGAGTCAGCTACAAACTCATCAGTGGGCTAGGGCTGGGGAGTAAGGGTTCAGTGGCACCATGCCTGCCTCACAAGTGCAAGGTACTGAGTTCGATCCCCAGTACCACCCCCCTAAAAAAGAAAAAAACCCACATCTCATCAGTGGGCTAATCCACTGCTGCCAAGCTCCATGTATGAGCACACGATGCTTTGAGGAGACATCTAGATATAAACCATAACAGCCACTATGTCTACTCCACTTTCTTATCAAGCATCTTCTCACCGTGGAGGGTAGCTCACACTCTGGAAGGTTGACTCTACTAACTTTCTTCCACTGTGTATAACTCATCACTCCTTCCCATCCCCACTGGGCACCTGACCCATGGCTCCCTATACACGCAGTTGCTACCAGCTCTTCACGAGGCAGAAAGGGTCTAAATGCAGTGACAGCCCTCAGGTCAGTGACTAGAATGGGCAGGGGCAGATGGTCAAGCTTTGACTCTTTCTTGTAGATTTACATTATACCAAACAGTAGCCACTAACCTCATGTGGCTCTGTGGATTTAAATTTCAGTTAGTTAAAATTAAGCAAGATACACTCCAAGCATTATGTGTGGCCAGCGGCTGCCATATTGGATAACATGTAAGAGAATATTTCTTACATTTCAGAAAGTTCTTTTGCACAGTGCTCATGTCATTCATGAATTTAGAGAGCTTACACATTGGAATCAGTATTTCAGCCCACACGGTACATCTCCAGGACCCCCAGACCTGACCTTGACTTCCTTCAGGTTTCTTGCCTTATAGTCATCAGCTGGTCAGTCCCCGACTGGCTTTCTGCATACAGACCCCTCTCCTCCTTCTGTCTGTCCTCATCACAGCCCAGGAAATCACCCACCACTCTGTTGAAAGTATCCCATACTTACCTAAAGCCAAATCTTTTTTTTTTTTTTTTTTTTTTTT